TGCTCCAATCTATAACAGGGTCTGAAACGTTCCAGTCAAACCTGGAGAACCGATTTGCTGCCGTGGAAACCACAACAGACGTAAACCAAAACCTCGAAAATGTGGTTCGGATCCTCAGGGAAGAGGGTACGAGATTATGTGTAACGCAGCGTAAGGGCAGGAAGTCAAAGCTTTTGGAAGAGACTTTAGGGCTAATGAAGGAACGACGTGAAAATCCACCCGTCACTTCGTCGGCAAAGCGGACTCTAAACCAAGAGATCAGTAAGCACGTACGACGCGACCTCCGGTGCTCCAATACTCTCTCGATCGAGAGAGCGATCGAGCAGAATCGAGGATCCAAAGTGTTCGTACAATCTCTTGGAAGAAGCCATCTGACGAAGTTGACCACAGCAAGTGGGGAAGTTGTTGCTTCAAAGCCGGCAGTCCTTTCGGAAGTGGAAGACTTCTACAGCCAGTTGTACGCATCACATGCATCTCGACCCGATCCCGGAAATGAGGATTCTAGAGCCACATTAACACGCCACTTCACCGAAGACCTGCCAGAAGTCAGTATTGGCGAAATCGAAATTGCTCTTGGACAGCTTAAAAATGGAAAAGCCCCTGGAGAGGATGGTGTTTCAACAGAACTCTTAAAGGCTGGAGGTAAACCCGTACTGAGGGAGCTCCAAAAGCTTTTCAACACTGTCCTGTTCGAAGGGAGAACTCCGGAGGCGTGGAGTAGGAGTGTGGTTGTCTTGTTCTTTAAAAAGGGGGACAAGACCCAACTTAAGAACTATCGACCCATATCCCTTCTAAGCCACGTCTATAAGCTGTTCTCAAGAGTGATCGCGAACCGTCTTGCGCGAAGACTTGATGACTTCCAACCACCGGAACAGGCTGGGTTTCGGAGCGGATACGGCACCATAGACCACATACACACAGTGCGGCAGATTATACAGAAGACTGAAGAGTACAATCAGCCCCTGTGCCTAGCATTTGTGGACTATGAGAAGGCCTTTGACTCGATTGAAATCTGGTCTGTTCTGGAGTCCCTGCAGCGTTGCCAAGTCGACTGGCGATACATCCAAGTGATTAGATGTCTGTACGAAGCCGCCACCATGTCTGTCCAAGTACAGAATCAGCAAACAAGTCCCATACCGTTGCATCGTGGAGTGAGACAAGGGGACGTTATTTCCCCGAAATTGTTCACTAATGCAATGGAGGATATGTTCAAGACGCTGAACTGGAAAGGACGTGGCATCAACATAAATGGCGAACGCATCTCTCACTTGCGATTTGCAGACGACATCGTCATCATGGCAGAAACCCTGCAGGACCTACAACTGAATGATGCTGAATGACCTGGCTGACTCTTCTATACGCATCGGCCTACGGATGAACTTGGATAAAACCAAGGTCATGTTCAATGAACATGTTCTACCGGAACCGATTGCAATACACGGTGCCGTTCTCGAAGTTGTTCAAAAATATGTGTACCTCGGGCAGACATTGCAGTTAGGTAGAAACAACTTTGAGGACGAGGTGAATAGAAGAATTCAGCTAGGTTGGGCAGCGTTTGGGAAGTTACGTCAAGTCCTGACATCGTCGATCCCACAGTGTCTGAAGACGAAAGTCTTCAAGCAGTGCGTCCTACCTGTGATGACATACGGAGCCGAGACGTGGACACTGACGGTACGGCTGGTCCACAGGTTCAAAGTCGCTCAACGCGCTATGGAAAGGGCTATGCTCGGCGTTTCTCTGAAGGATCGCATCAGAAATGAGGTAATCCGGCAGAGAACCAGAGTTATCGACATAGCCCACCGGATTAGCAAGTTGAAGTGGCAGTGGGCTGGCCATATTTGTCGAAGAACCGATAACCGTTGGGGTAGACGAGTTCTGGAGTGGAGACCGCGTCTAGGCAAACGTAGTGTAGTAGTGTAGGACGTCCTCAGGCGCGATGGAGTGACGATTTGCGCAAGGTGGCTGGCAGGAGCTGGATGCGAGTAGCCCAAGATCGATCTAAGTGGCGTGCATTTGGAGAGGCCTATGTCCAGCAGTGGACTAAGATAGGCTGTTGATGAAATTGGATACGTGTATATAATAATATAATACGTAAACTCATAGAAAGAATGTATGTATATACATACATATATATATACACACACACACACCCATATATATATATATATATATACTAGCAAACCCGGCGAACTCCGTTTCGCCACCAGATGGCTTCGTTTTATGTAACATTTCGTTTGGTGATTAAAAGAAGTTTTTTTTTTAATTTTTCCTGAATTTTCTTTGCTATAAACCTCACGGAGCCCGAGACCTTTCCAACGAATGCAAAACCGTGGAAATCAGTTCGTGCGTTCTGGAGTTATAGCGTCAGGAAGGAAAACCCGACTTATTTTTATATAGTAGATATATATATATATATATATATATATATATATATATATATATATATATATATATATATATATATATATATATATATATATATACCTAAATACACACACACATATACAGGGCGTCTCACGAATTCCTCACACGGAAGGAAAGTATGTTAAATATTGAAGATAGGTTATTTCACTGAAAGAAGACGTCATTTTATTTCTAATAATAGCTACAACTGCATTTACAGTTATTTTCAAATCGCCTGCTACAACTGCGAATCAAACTCGTGAAATTAAAAAAAAACATGACGTGTTTAATGATAACCATCGGAGGGGTTTATTATCATAAGGATTATTTTTTCCTAAATAACATTACATTATTTAAATGAAAAGAAGATCAAGAAATTACTATTTTGTTCAGGGAAATATCCTCTTACTTTTCCTTGCTTCCAACAGCTAATGAAAGGAAGATCATGACATTAAAATTTTGTTCTGGAAAATTTCCTATTACTTTTGCGTGCTTCCAAGAGCCAATATTATCATTTCAAAGTATTTACTAATTATAGTACCTGCTCACTTAATAATACAGGATTTCCTTACTTATAAGTACGTGAAAAAATAATAAAGCGATATTTTATACAAACCTTATATATTTTTTATTGTAGTTTGTGTTGTGTGTTCAATTATAAAAAAAATAGTCAAATTTCGTGACTTTTCTTTCATTGAAAATGTTTTGTTCCCGGTTTTGGCAGGAGTTTTTTTTAAACTGTGTTTTTAATGCACTTTCCAAGTCGTGTAGAGCACGAGTTCTATGATTTTTTTCCATACATGCGTTCTCGACTGATTCCTCCTTGATTTTTTTCACTGAAAACATGATTGCCATTTATAAAATATATTATGATTCTATGCTCTTATGTTTTCCTTTTTAAGATAACTTGTATTTCAAAGAAACTAGAAGTCTTCAAAAATGCCAAATATAAACAAATTTTTATCACCATTAAATTCGTCTAGTGTGGATATTCAATAAGCATTTACAAAAAGCAAAACATAGAGGCATATTATAACTACTTACTATTCTAGGGGTAAAATTACATTTCACAAAAACTTTCTAAACATAACTAATTTATGATGAGGAAATCGTCGAGAGTCAACCCTCGAATTTTGCTAATTTTATTCGCCATTTTTTACTTTAGCACGGTATTTGCTAATGTGCGATAGTTATAGTTTTTTCAAATACCGATTTCCCAAATGTCTTTCAGCAGTGCTATTCTGTAAAATTTTCAAGCGCGAACAATTTATAGGAAAGCATTGCAACTCGCGTCTGCGATTAAAATGCGCTAAAATTAGCATTCAAACTTTGAATTAAGTAAGCTCCTTCAGCTGCACATACAAATTTATTATCCCCCCCATAACCTATTTTATGCGTGGTGGCGTGTAGTCTTTTCTAGTGAAAATTTCTTTAGATTTAACATCTAGCAGTTAAATGCTTAAAAAAAACAATATTTTATGCGTGTCAAAATGTCACCAGTCAAGCTTTCGTCTAGCGTCTATAGACACGTAGTTTTAACAATTCTTCACGATAGAACTAATTCCAATTTCGAATGCTAATTTTAGCGCATTTAATACCAAAGCTACACAAAACTTCGTCGGGCATGTGGGGGAAAAGTACAATACACATAAAAAAAAACAGACAGACATCCCGCTACATCAGTATACTACAAGCACTTCTGGAACTCTTTGATCAAATTGAATTTTATTGAAAAAAAGAAGGTCTCGTGATTTAGAATTCCAGCAAAGAATTAGCCGACGAAATTTAAAGTGAAAACGGTATTACTTAAAATTTCTCAACCTTTGGCAACATTAATGGTAGATTGTTTATTCAGTCTCATTTAAAATTAAAAGTAGAAACTGGATATTTCAAGGTTATTAATTCACAAATAATGTCTTCACTACTAATTAGTAGCAGTTACTTATTATTTAACTATTACCTTCGGTGCAAGTATTCAGTTGGCCGTCAACGCCTACGCCCAATGTCCTTAATATTAAATTACATCCAAGAAACGTAAACCGATCAGTCTTATTATAATAAGGTACTCATTTATTAACGATTTAATAAATGACGATACAGGAAATATATACATGTTTTATTAGACTTACCTAATTCCGACTTTGTTTTAAATCGTTGATTATTGAATAAAAACTGTAAATTTGTGTATGTAATATTTGGTTACGTCTATGTTTATAACTGTACAAAAAACAACACAAGACTCAGATATAGTTTCATTCGTGTTTAATTTATATTATTCCTTATCCAACATACCTACCGCATTCGAAAAAAATCAATTTTTCGTAAAGAAAACAGTACAATGAATGCTTAAAAGACCATAATTATAGAATCATAATATTTATTATTCAAACCCCTAGCCTGAAAGACTTGAAATTTGGCATTGTATAATATATTTGGCATAGGGGTGTTGTGCATTCCAACTCTTCAATAAGCTAAAAGTTATATTTTTTTTAACTGCTAGATGTTTAATTCTAAAGAAAAGTTTAACTAGAAGCTTAAAGTTGCTGCCGCAGTATCAAATTTAATTTGCTAAATTCAAACACGTTCTGTCTCTATAGTGTCTAGTTCAAAGTTTGAAATGTATTGAAGGGAAACAAACAATAATGTTATGTTTGAACATCTCTCTTAAGTGGTAGAGTGTGCTGTGTCAGTGACTGGTGCAGGGTATAGTGAGTGCACTATGTGAATGGACACAAACACAATGTGGGCGGCGGAGTTGGGCTGCTTTTTTATTTTGTTCGGTAAGTGTTTTGTATTATATGAGAATAACATTTTTAAACACATTAATGGTGCGATTAAACTTGGTCGATAGCCCGAATACGAGTGCCAATGGAATTCGGTTAAACGACCAAGTGTAAATGAACGGAGTCGAGTACGCCCATATTGGGGTAGTTTTTGTTGTGGTTACCCGAAACCGTCTTCCAGTCCGTATCCCAGTGTAAATATCGGGTGCCCAAATACGAGTAATGTCTTCCGTGCACTCGAATACGGGCTAACGACCAAATGTAACTGAGCCATTACGAAGGTTGTAAACATTGTTCGAAAATTCAAAATTACGTGCCATACAACGTTGTATGGTGCAGTGTACTACCTAAGGTTTTTTTACCTTTTGATGGATGATATTCTCCTAGGAATACTAAAAAGAAAAAAAGTTTCACCACCCCGCACGTGGCGCCAAATGGAAATGCACGCCATTTTCGCAATAGTTTGCTTCATTACTTTAAAATAATACTGTTTTCTCGCAAAATGTGTTGAAAAGAAAAACGTTGTATGTCATTTGTGCGTAATTGGTATTTACAAACTCGTGACTATGACTGGTTTGTAATAAGCAACTTACCGTACTAATATCATATACTAGCGGCCGCCCGCGACTTCGTACGCGTGAAGTTAGTTAGAAATAAAGGTTCACTGCTCGTTCCCCGTAGGTGATAATATGTAGCCTATATGTTGACCCGACTTTCCTAATAATATTCCTGCCAAATTTGAAGTAAATCCATGCAGTACTTTTTGGGTTTATCCCGGACATACATACAGACAAACAGACAAAAATTCTAAGAACTATATTTTTGGCTTCGGTATCGACTGCAGATAACACCAAGTATTCTTTAAAAAAAATATTCAATGTACAGTTTTGACTTTCCTACCATTTTGTTATAATGTATAGATGATCTATTCCATGTTAAAAGGGTGGCAAACAAACTAATGGCCCGCCTGATGCTAAGCAGCTACTAGCATGAGTATGCTTACGATTCTAAAGCTACCCCTCGCGCCGTTGCCTACCCAGTCCTAATCCCCTACCCCGTGAAGCCCTGAAACCTTAAGTTAATAATATTTTCTCTGAATTCTTTGTTTTTTTTTATTAATTTTTGAGAGCCGTCAATATTGAGACGTTTGGAATTTAGAATCTTATTTTTCGTCAGTTTAAAAGATTATGTTCTTATTTCCTGTGTCCTTGAATTAAGGTTTAGATTCGAGAGTAGAAGGGCAAAACCGCTATAACGCTACGTGGGTCGAAAATTAGTTTTTATAACATTTTAATCAGTTTTTTCGTGCGTCGATCTGTTTATGTTTCGTGAATATTTGAGTACGATTTTGGCGCTAAAGCAACTCAATGTTTTGAGATTTTTATTTTTCTCAACGCTGAAGCGACATAAATATTGATGTTTTTTGAACCAGTGGCGCTTACGCCCTACCATTTGGCGTATGATTTGATGTTTGCTTGACAAAAAATACATGGCGGGCCGAGTGATTTGAAATTCCTAAAGGCACTATGTAACTTTTTAGTAGGAGGCTATATAGAAAATATTATTTTATAATTATTATTTTATTTTTATGATGCTACTTCACATTTGCAAAGAGTTATGATTTTTTGTAAAAAAACTTAAGTATCTAAAGTGGCGTTTAAGCGATTTTGCCTTTCAACTGTCGATATGGTATATTGTTGTTGTGCAAATTCAATGTTTTTTCAATCCCTACGAAAAAAGAAACAGCTGCATTACAACAACTACCCAACTTCGAGACAAAGGTTTGATTCTATATCTATATTTACAGATTGTAGGATTATTCAGATACAGTTAGGTGGGCTCTTCTCGGCTTAAGAAACTTAAATTACTTACGTACGTAAACGTTTTTCCTTGATTTTACAAGAAATAGAAACATGGATCAAAAGGAATACCAGTAAAGCTGAATAGATATTATTAACTACAAATTACTAATATTACGATCCAATGATATATTTTCCGTCGAAAAACTTGAATCGAGTAACGATTAGTATAATAAGGGTTCCGTGGTTCAAAAGGAAAATTGAAGGCTAAATGTCCATCTATTCTCTAACTGAACCTTTTTTCTCGGAATCGTGCAGTAAGTAGTATCAAATATGGCCTAATCAAAAACATGGATAATAAAACCTAGATGTGCATGGGCCATGGGTAATTTAAATAAATAAAAAAAGGTATATAATAATATTATAAGTACAAAGACGGTTAATTGATTTTTAATATTATAAAATGTAAGCTTTCTTTTATGAACTGCCTTTATTTAATCAGACTGGGCAAATTTTTCTATAGCGACCTAAAGCCTATTCCACCCACACGTTATTTCTGTAAAAAGCATTTAACGCTTTAGAATTTTGATAATTCTATTTTTGTTAATCATCAAATATCTATTACTGGCTGGCTACTTCAACATTTTCTCGTGTAATGGCGACACGTGTGTGTTTTAAATTCATTTTAACTCACTTTTTTCGTAGAATCTCTATGATTTTTTATACAAATACTAATGAAAGCATAATAAAATCACGAAAAATTGACAAAAATATCTCAGTGCTCATAGTAAGTTAGAATTCAAGAAACTAGTACGTGAACACTATCTCAAAACCTAATTGTTTCTCTGAACTTATAGTTTATAATATCATCATATTTATTAATATTATAAAATACAAATTATATTTATATCCTACTCAACGAGCTCTAGATAATGAGTGTCACATGCTGGGGAAAAAAAGAAAACAAATCGTCTCTTTTTCTTGTATGGAATCCCTTATGGAAAATAATTTAATTGAATTCGTAACTACATTAAAATGGTACAACAGGCGGACTTAATGCTACATGCATGCTCAACCTGTCAGTAATATTTAACTTTGACCAAGCATTCTACATAAAATATCAAAATTGCAGTTCTGTAACTCATTGCGTTTACGATCTAGAGACCCGTGGCATACAGGCAGACAGACAACAGAGTGACAACAATAGGGTCCCGGTTTTACCCTTTGGGTACGGAACCCTAAAAAAAAGGAGAAAAATCAATTGCTATGGTTTCACAAGGACCTTGCCTCAGCTTTAGAGAGATGGGTAAGCAAATTGGATCGCCCGTCAGGGGCAGCAACATCCACCTTAAAGCGATGATCACATCACAAGCCCATTAATGTCCAAACTGTTGGGCAGTGGCCTTCCCAATGGACCCGCATAATCTCGTCGTCGCGTCCCACACTCGGAGGCGAGGTATGCGCCACGCATTTTCAACATAAAAACCATGAATTAGCGAATGTCGTGCGAATCCGGGGTGTTTAATAGTTTATGGTATCTTAACATGTAAAGAAAAAATTGACTATCAAAGGTGTATGATAGTAAACTATCGAATACAATATTTATAGGTAAAAACGGGCACTTTAGATTTTTTGCTCTACTTTAATGAATATTACAAGAAAGGGGTTTTATTAATTACACGATATATTGGCTTGTTATTTGTAGCACCCTGACATGATTCTATACGTCCCAAATTTAAATTTCGTGGACAACTCCACGAAATACAGACAGACACGAATCTTGCTATATAGATTCCAAATGTGTATGATAGTAAACTATCAAACACAAAAAGGGTTCAGGCCGGCAAGGTAAGGATGGTTGAAGTGGCAGTCTTTACTAATAAACAATTTTGTTACCTACTTAAAACAGCCGTTTAAAAAGTGTTTTATCAAAGCTTCGACAAGTTTTAAGAATTCCAACGTCTTAAGTAAATTGTTTTAATTGACGATGAGTTTCATATTACAGTTCGATATAGGCTCGGATTCATTGACCCTATATTAAATATTTGAGTTAAGTCCGTCGCGCCGTCTAAGTCTTGCCGAAGTCAACGTACGAGCCAATGTATAAGAATGTAGAACTGTAAAATACATTGGCCATTAATTCGGTATCAATATCCAATCTTGAAATGTCAAAGCACTAAACAATTCATTAATAATAGATGAATATGGTTTTGTTTGTACTAAACTTTAATTGAGTTTATAATTTATGATGGCATGGAGATGGCACATTTATGACAAACTTTCTCTAATCTAATTTAATTAATTTTCCGACATGACTTCTAGTTAAAGTTATAATAATTTTGAAAAGTTCGTAAACGTTTTAGCTTTTAACTTTTCTGTACCACTTACGTGACAAACGAGCATACAGTCCGTCTGATGATAAGTAGTTACCGCAGCCGTTGGACGCTTCTAATACCAGAAGCATCCCTCACGCACCATTTTACGCCAGTCTGATTATGCCTGTATTTTTTATGCATCAGTGAAACCTAGTAATCGGTTACAGGAACTTCATCCTACTACCATGCCGTCCGAAGTAGGTTGAAACCGCACTGTACGTGAACCACTTGGCACTGAGGTATAATAAACTCCTTGTTGATTGCAAGCGGAGGTAGATGGTGGCTGTGGGCATTATCAAACCATTACTCAGAACATCCCATTTTCAAAGCCCGCGAAGACAACCAAAATCTGTGTCATGCATGTTAGAGGCATAACACTCTATAACACCTATGAGCTCTATCGACAACCCATACCACAGGTCTGAACGGTTTTTAAAGTAGAAAGTTAATATCTGTCAGGTACTGCGGCCCAAAGATGACAGCAGTACTTCATATGAAGGCGAACTTGCGACTTATAAAGTAGCAGTCTGTTTTGCGCAGTGAAGTACCGCTTGAGCTTTTGGACGTCAACTTAACCTTATTTTCTAAGGTTACTATGGCATTTAATGGACATCGCTAGAGACGAGATCTTGTGATGGAAAAAATGTATTCTTGAATTGAGGGACCACAGTAACGTCAGTCTTTTTACAGTGAATGCGCATATTAACAAACGTAAGTTACGCTTACTAATGAAATTATTTTACATTATTATTCTCTAAAATCTTTGCCAGAGAGACAAAGAGCCAAGATCGAGGCAAAGCTTTTTTATCATACGGCTACTAAA